TAGGCTTGGGTACCGAGCTATATAAGACCTCTTATTATTATTATTTTAATGTCAGAAGATATTTAGGAAATATTCAATTATTACCACAGTTTACATAAAAATATTTGATAACGGCTGTTTCAGATTTAGCGGCCCACGTCGACTTTGTTAAGGTTAGGCATAGGGATCGATTGAGGGTTCAGGTTAGGCATAGGGATAGATTTAGGGTTCGGGTTAGGCATAGGGATAGATTTAGGGTTAGGGTTAGGCATAGGGATCGATTTAGGGTTCAGGTTAGGCATAGGGATTGATTTGAGACGTAAAAGTGCGCGCATGGAAATAGACGCCAGGCCGCTTTCTCTGAATTTAGCTTGGTAACTTATGTTTTAGAATGAATTTAGAATGAATTTAGAATGCATTTAAACAATATTTTAAATATGAAGTTTAAAACCCTGTTTAGAGCCCAGATACACTATTTTTCACTATTAAAATCATTGGTCAGGGAAAGCTTTAATGAATTAATCTCACATTATTAATTATATATATTGTCATATGCAAAAAGTGAAAGTTCACTATATCACAATAAGTAGTCCCAAATATTATTTATATGACATAGTAATATGATGAGCAATAATAATATAATGTTAAGCTGCACAGCTATCTCACAGACAACGCACAGCAGTTTTGAGGATGCAGCAAATTTCCATGTAAATGTGTGTTTGTTGGCTGTAAAATTTTGCACACAAAAAAATTGATGCTGTAAACTTTGCACACAACTGTATGATTTTGCATACGAACCAATAAACCTTAGAGGTAACATTGAATGTGGGGCAGGTCATTGTATGTTTATTTGAATTTTAAATCAGCACTATCTAAGTTAATCTAAATCTAAGGCAGTGTTTCTCAACCTTCCAAATGCTGCAACCCTTTAAATACAATTCCTCATGTTGTGGTGATCCCCAACCATAAAATTATTTTTTTTGCAACTTCATAAATTAAATATGTATTTTCTAGTAATCTTAGAAGACCCCTGTGTAAGGCCAGTAAGGAATTTTCGCCGCCCCCCCAGCCCTAAGGAGTGGCGACCCACAGGTTGAGAACCGCTGATCTAAGATGGGCATACTCAAAGTAGACTTAGTAATAGTATAAGTATAGAAACTTAGTTTTAGTACTTAGACTAGACAAGAGTAGTAGGCCGAACCACTCTGGGGCACTGGACTGGGGGAAGTGGACGGAACTGAAACTGATTATTTAAAACTATATGACTATGACTATGACAATATTGAGAATGTAGAACATTTTATTTCGTTTTTAAAATTGGTGCACTGACCAAAATTTAAAGAAAATAATATTTCAAATTCCAAATCCAATTCAGTAGGCCTAGTAGGTCGAATTGCCATCTATTACTATAAACTATTAGTATTAGTTTTCAAACATGTTGATATTTCTTAACCCGGAAACAATTGTTATTAACTAGCAAGTTCAAGGTTAGTAAAAGCTGTTCGGATTTATTTGCTGTAAGTAAAGCTTAAAAGAAATCCAAATCTCTCATGAGTCATTCTTATTCCGTATTCTCTCTTTTAAATTTAATTATTTTTTTAAAATAGCATAATAGATAGGATGCTGAGCAGGGAATCTTAGCGGCACTTTAAAATGTGGCCCCTTCGGTCACCTGCAACAAAAAGAAATAAGTTTTATCGTTATTTGATTTGTTTTTAAAATCTTTATGATACTGTAGATTGTAGATGTATCAGTGACGACAATGCAGTCGGTTGAATCAAAAGCCGGTATTTGCCGTCTTATGACAGTAAGTGTAAGGTCAGTAAGGAGAAAAGTTTCTTTTTTTTAGTACATGAAAGACTTCCCGGAAATTTTCGCTTATCGAGTCCAATCACAATCTTTTAAAATACAATTTTCTTTTTCTTAAAAAAAAAACACAATTATTTTCAATTTTCATTCCAGCGAGTCACAGAGTGTCATAAATTTTCGCTATAAGTCGGGACCTGTAAAATATAGTTAAATGCGCTGAATTACGAAACTCAGTAGCTCTAGTATACAAGTTCTTAGGTGACCACATCCCTATATCATATATAGAAGTAATGCGACCCTTAACATGGTACCGGTCATAGACTGTGGTACCGGTATGTTGGAAAAATGTTTTTAAATAGGGTAAATTCTTGGAATGGAGTAAGATTTAAAATTTAATTTTCAAATATAATGTTATTTGCGACGTATTAAATGCTATGATTTAAATTGTACCTCAAACTTTAAGACACAAAGTAACAGAAAAAACTATTAAAAATTTCTCTGAGTCTATTTTTTCAGCAGGAGACCACCTATAAATTCTTTTTCAACCTCATTTGAGGTCACCTTCCATGGCCATTAGATGAAAATATGTGCTCCAATAACTTTATCTCAAGACGTCACGTGTCGAACTACCTTTAAAATACTTTAAATTATGGAATTTGTTTTCTCTTCCCAAATCAACAAAGTAAGATATATACAAATAAAGATATATTTATTTTCAATCCTAATTGTTTGTTTTTATCCGAAACGATCCCTTAGTTACACGTTGTTATATAATATAAAATATTGCTCGTAAATATTTAGAGACTGTTTCGAAAATAGAATTCAATTATCTACCTGTAAAGAATCCACAACTCATAATGTTTTATGTTGTTCTTTTGTTTGCAAGCCTTTATATGCGACTTTTGCTTAAGTAAAGAATCATATTAATAGCAAAGTTATCCATTGCTAGGGAAAAGCCGTGGATTTTGAAGCAACACGTACCAAGTGACCAATGTTCCCTCTAAGGTTTGTAGGTTCGTGTGCAAAATCATAGTGTGCAAATTTTTACAGCATCAATTTTTTTGTGCGCAAAATTTTCAGCGTACAGACACAAACACACAAAGTGGAAATTAGCTGCGCAGTGCTCAAAACTGCTGCGCGGCGTCTGTGAGATTGCTGCGCGGCCGCCCAGCTTAAAGGGAACATTGCAAGTGACCAACCACTTAACTAGCCTTAGCAGTACATTTTTAAAAATTCATAAATAGAAAATAGCAACTAAACGACTGTAAAAATTAAACTAATGTTATCCCAGGATTTCCACTTGGAATCTTATACCTAAAGCCACGGACTCGTTTGGCTGTGTGCCATATAAAGTTAAATCTTCTACTACTTCTTAATTTCGAAAAAACATCTTCCAATTTTCTTTGCTTTATTTATTTATTTACTTAGGCATTTTTTATATACCGCTTACCTTAAAGCTCTAAGCACTTTACAATTATTAAAAACATGTAAACTAAGTAAAATAAAAATGAGACACTAGGATAGTAACTACTATACTAAAGAAACAAATTAAAATGGCTATAAAATGAGGACATTTCTGGCTTTGTAAAAGGTCCAGGTGCAGAGGACTTGGATGATTTCGTTACCCGGTACCAAATTTAAATTAGGTTTCGTCTGTCCCGGGGAGATGAAATTAAGCACATATCTACGTTTTGTGAATTATAGGTTATAGAAATTATTTAGTGTAAATTTCGACATATTTCTATGCATCGGACATTGTAGCATTAGATAACGATACAATCGGAATCCTCTTATACCACATTATCCTATAAATACATTTGATGTTGTCGATAGATCCAAATTCCTGGGCATTGCTAAAAAAGGGGCTCGTATTTAACACCAAAGCCTTTAAAAAAGCACTTGCCCCCCCCCCCCCACCCCTGGATTGATTGGATAAAAAATGACATTTGATGTTGTCAATAGATCCAAATTCCTGGGCCTTGCTAAATAAGGGGCTCGTATTTAACACCAAAGCCTTTAAAAAAGCCCTTGCCCCCCCCCCCCCACCCCTGGATTGATTGGATAAAAAATGTTTAGACAAAAATAGACAAAAAATTTATTAAAGTAAAGAGAAAATAAAGAGAAAGTAATTAAGCTGATGCCTGTCCGTTCGTTCACCATACAAATACGCTACAGTAAATTAAAACTACATTAAAACATTACTAAAAAATTTTTGCACCCCCCTAGGAAGTTAATCGATTTTTTGCCCCCCCCCCCCTAGAAAGTTTTCTGCAGCGCCCATGGATGTAAGGCAGCATCATAAATCAGGGGCCAATTAGCATAGTGGGCTCTGAGCATGCTGAGCACATTGCATTATGAATAATCCAACCCTGACTAGGCATCAGGCTGACATGGCTGAGGTTCAAATAACAACTTATCCCTTTTTTAAAATTAAATTGAACAATTAAATAATGTACCATTAACTGTGTGCAGTGTAATCAGGGGACGACTGCAATCAGGTTGAAGTAATATAAATATAAAACAAAGGGTAGGAAAACCTGAAAATGGGGGGACAAAATTGGCTACAACAAGTCTTCGTCAAAAAGCAAACCATCAAAAATAGAGAGTTTTAAAAAAATATCTCATAATGTGTTAGAGATAACTACAAAGTGATGCATCAGACACCCAGAATCCATAATGTGGGAGTGATGTGTAAGAATGTCTTACGACCGTGTGCCCACCAATATTTTTGCGAACTTGAGCATTTCAGGTGGTATGCTGGTGGCCAAAGAAAGGCTCCAAAGACATCCTAAGAACTTCATTGAAAGGTTTATTTAAAAAAAAAAAAACGGGACAATTGGAAACAATCGACAAAGTATTTTTTTTTTTTAGCTTCTTGGGTGTCCTCGGTAGCCTACACAAAGACCTCATCTAACACGAAGGTAACAAACAGCAGCTGCATAAATCAAAAGACAATCCAGAAACGCCCGGGTCACTAATTTACCTGGATATGCTCCATCTACCCCATTGAACACAGTGCACAAGGAAATTTCCTGCCAGAAATTTTCTCATCACTCATCTGTGCACACACAGAGAGAATTAGCCATAGTAACAGTCGGATAATTAAGGTTGTCCTCGTGGAGACGACGGGCGAACAAACATAAAGTCACAGGAAGCGTAAGGCATCCCTAAAGATATCTGTGTCTGATATCAACTCTTCTATGAAAATTTTCAGTTCCGGTCAAAATGGCCGAACCAGAAGATACGGCTAATCTTAAAGCTCAACTTGAAGTAATTTCGAAAGAAACTTCTTTCCTTAAGAAGTATTTCGCTCTCAGGAAGAGATGTGAACAATTGCAGCAGGTATTATGTAATTGCTATCAGACCTACTTATATTTGTTGTTTTGTTGCGTCCTTTTTTTAATGTTTTCCCATGTTTTGCTTGCCTAAAAAATAAATTATTAAATAATAATTAATAATAATACTATTAATACTGTACCACTGTACCGTATGATGTTTGAATAAGTTTGTGTTTGGCCTTGAAATAAGCGAAGCAAAGTATGGGAAAACTGAATAAGGATGCAACAAAACAACTAACTTGTTGTCAAGCCTTCTTCAGTGAACAAACAGTAAAACAAAAATTAAAAAACCAAAGAAAATAAAAATAAAATAAACACAGCAACTTTGCTCCAAAATGAAACCAGAATCAACTTTTTAGCTAAAGTCTTAAGTACTTTTTGAGCTACGAATTTTAAGTGTGAGTTCGTTAAGTTGGTAAGTTTTTTTTACTATGGACCATGAGCATGGACAAAACCTCCACATCTTGTGACCTCATTCTGCTGATCACGTCATGACTATATAGTTTATATACTATAAGGCAATGCATCCCCTTATTACTAAAATACTGTTTATTTTAAACTTTCAACTTTGGCACATGATTAATTAATTAATTAAAGCTTTCCCTGACCAGTCCAATGGTTTAATAGTTTATGTAAATTGTTATGAACTTATGAATGAAACTACGATATAGCCATTATCTTATGTAAGTGGGTGTGAATGGTTGCCCATGACAATGTTTAGTACATGTAAAGTTCTGGTCATTTATAATATGGACTCTACCAGGTTTTTAAAGCTCAAATTAAAACGTTGCCGCTTAAATGTCTTCAAAATGTATTCTGAAACACAAGTTATCAAATATTTTGATGTAAATAGTGGTAATAATTAAATATTTCATAAGTATCGGCATCTTCCGCCATTAAAAGGGGGGCATTGCCCACGCATGTGTAAATTAGGCTGAGCGACCTTATGGTAATGCAGGTTACAGGGAAAAGCGTAACGACCGTCAGAAACGACCTACATTAATGAGATTTGGCACACGTATACATCAATATACAATGGTTTTTACGAATTAATATGAAAGACATTTTCTTTGAAATTCACAAAAAATTGTGTATGCGAAGATGCCTTATATATACAAAAAGTTTTTAAACATAAAGGTCGATTGAAAAAGCAAAATAGCTGGATGGAAATTAGGCCAATATGTCTTCCAAAGTGAAAAGACGGAAGCCGAACTCAATTAGGTGTCAAAAGTACTAATTTATTAATGAATGGACGCTCACATTAAAAAATTAAAAAGTCGGATTTTAATGCACAGATGCCCATTTCCGATACAAATTTTGAAGTTGTCTCCCTTGCTTTACCGAAGTACCTACTCAAATGCCAATAACCAATGTTACATCAATAGGCACTTCAGTATAGTCCGGGAAATGCTTAAAACCGGGTATCATGATTTGGTTATCAAAATGGCTAACCTCCACTGGGTCTGTTTGTTTACAATTCTTGTGCAAAATATATATATATCATAGCATGTACATTCTATTTCCGCCCACATATTCATCCCTGTGGTGCTATAGCTCATTTAGGGCTTTGGCCTGCCTCACCACTTCCTTCCTCTCAGACCTAACCAATGCCTTTCTTTTCCATGCTTGGACTTTCAGCTGCTGTAGATCTTTTTCTACATCATCTATCCACCTAAGCCTAGGTCTGCCTTTGAGCCTTTTTCCTCTGGGTTATTGGTGATGCACCCTGTTCGTTCCTCTGTCATTTGGCATTCTCTCTCTACTCTCTAGGTGTCCTGCCCAGCGTAGCCTGCCTCTTTTTATTTCTGCCACTATCGTGGGATCCTGATATAGACTGTATAACTCCTGGTTGGTTCGTATTCTCAATCCATATTCATCCTTTGTTGGCCCATATATTTTCCTGAGAACTGTCCTCTCCCATGTGTTTAATAGGTTTTCTGCTGTTTTTGTTAGGGTCCAAGCTTCACTTGCATATGTTACAAACTGATCACAGTTTTATAAATAGTTTTCTTTGTTTCTCTTGTAATGTTTTTACTTTGAGTATTTTCTGACTACTGAAGTATGCCCTGTTTCCGGCTGATATTCTTTCTTTTATCTTCTTCTCTTCTTTATTTTAAGGGCCCACGATCAATGAATTGATCATTCTGGCTCCTATGTTTCAGAGGGGTTTGCGATGTTACTGTCCATGGGTTTCAATGGGATACTTCACTGTTTGCAAGGGCGACTCAGCAGTGGTGTTATGAACTGGGGGTTGGAATACAGGAGGCAATAGACACAAATGTCTCGAGTGTAGCCGCCTCAACTGTTGCTTTTGGAAGCTTGTTCCAGTCCCCTATTGTCTTCGGCAGGAATGAGGAGCTTCTGTACTTTGTTCTTGTTTTTACCAGCCGGAACTGTTTGTCGTGACTTCGTCGCAGTCTAGGGGGAAGATGAACGAGTTTCTGTTTGATTCCGGAGCAGTGCACCAGCCCATTTGTTATCTTGTACAACATGGTGAGCCTGGATAGTCGTCGTCGTTCTTCCAATGTCGACCAGCCCAGTGTTTCCAGCATGCTGCCAACACTCGAGGTGCTTCTGTAGCGGTTCATGACAAAGCGTGCTGCCCGTCGCTGGACCGCCTCCAACCTGTCTATGCTTTTCTGGGTAAATGGGTCCCAGACTGTAGAAGCATACTCTAAAATAGGTCGGACAAAGGCTTTATAGGCTTTTTCTTTCACGCTTGAGTTGCCGATCTTCAGATTGCGCCTTAGGAACCCCAGGGTCTTGTTTGCCCGGTTGCACACACTGTTAATGTGCTCGTCCCAGCGGACCTCTCTTTGGATGGTAACACCCAAGTACTTAACGGAGGAAACTGGCTCAAGAATATGGCCATGCAGTTCGTAAGAGTGGTTTAGAAGGAACCTGCTTCTGGAAACTGACAGGGTCTGGCACTTGACGGGATGAAATTCCATGTCCCAGCTCATCTCCCACTCAGCTAACCGATTGAGGTCTTGTTGAAGCTGGCTCTGGTTATTTCTGTTAGTAATTCGTTTCTTTCATTTAACAAGGATCCTAGGTATTTGAATTGATTTACTTTTTCAAAAGTTTGGTTTCTAATTTTAATTGTTTCATCTGTTTGTTCCTCTCTTATCATGGTCATGTATTTTGTTTTTTGGTTGTTAACTTCCAGCCCTGCTTGTAGAGATGCGTCTTCTAATTCAATAAAGGATTTTGATTTAATACTTTTCCCTAGAAGTGCTATGTCATCAGCATATGCAAGATACTGAAGTGGTTGGTTGTAGAGCGTGCCCGTTGGTTGTAGAGCGTGCCCGTTGGTTGTAGAGTGTGCTCGTTGGTTGTGGGTCTTGAGTTTCCCTCAGAAAGTATCCTGTTATAGTTCCTCAAGTGTCAATGTGTATGTTTCTGATAACTCTCTCTAATGTTAGGTTAAAGAGCATACAAGACAGTGAGTCTCCCTGTCTTAGGCCTTGTCTAATATGAAATTCCATTGAATATTCTCCTTGAATCTTGATTTTGCTTTTTGAGTTGTTTAGTGTTATATGTATTAGCCTTGTCAGTTTGTTGGGTATCCCAAACTCCTGCAGAGTCTCATATAAATAGTTTCTTTTGATGCTGTCATAGGCCATTTTATAGTCTACATAGAGTTGATGTACTGGTTAATTAAATTCATAGCATTTCTCTAATAGGCATCTGATGGTGAAAATCTGATTAGTCGTTGATCTGTTAGGCCTGAATCCACATTGGTAATCACCTAGTATTTCTTCAGTGTAAGGTTATGGTCTTTTGGCAATAAGCTTCGTCAGTATTTTGTATGTATCATTTAATAGGGAGATTCCTCTGTAGTTTGTGCACTGAAGTTTGGAGCCTTTCTTGTTTATTGGGGTTATTAATGCTGTTTCCCATTCTGTTGGGATTTTCTCTTCTTGCCAAATTTTAGTTATAAGTTTATGTATCTGATTGTGTAGTTCTTTTCCTCCATATTTTATCAGTTCTGCTGTGATAAGGTCTTGTCCAGGGGCTTTGTGCTTTTTCATGTAATTAATTACCTCTTTGGTTTCTTCTAGGGTTGGGCATTGTATAAAAGGGTCTGGTCCTCCCTGTTGGAGTTGATAATCTTCTTCTTGTCTATTGTCTGCATTCAGTATGTCCTCAAAATATTCAGCCCACCTCTCCAATACTTTACTATTTTTCGTGATTAATTCTCCATTGTGGCTCTCACATATTTGCGGTCTGGCTTGGTATCCATTCTTTTCATCTTTTATCTTCATGTACATTCCTCTTATATTTCCCTCTCTTATTGACAAATCTTCTATTTCCTTTAGTTTATCCTTTTCCCCATTCCCTCTTTTTCTTCCTACACATTTTTGTTGCCCACATATTAGAATAGACATATTGTTTTTTCATTAGACACTTTTGTTTCAAAAAGATTTTTTGGTCTTCCCTTTGAAAATTTAAAGTAAAATAAAGCTAAATTTACTAATTTATATATTTTTGTTGAAAAAGGGTTGTCTTTTAATTTAAAATTCGACCAGAGATAATTGCATAAATAAAAACATATCCAAATTCATGAGGTCAGGGCCAACGAATGGGTGAATAAAATTTGTGCACACTTTTTGTCTTCTTCTTATGGTATTATTCCTTTTTTACCCTGTCTGGGGCAAAGGCTGTCCAAAAGAATTTTCTATTCATCACGGCCCTTTGCTTTCCTTTCCAGTTGCTTCCAGGTGTATCCCATATTTTGCATGTCTGCCTCTAGCTCACGTCTCCATGTATTCTTTGGCCTTCCTCTCTTTCTTTTTCCCGGTGGATTCCATGTTAGAGACTGTCCGGTGATGCTATTTGGGGGTTTTCAGAGAGTATGCCCTATCCACCTCCATCTTCTCTTTATGATGTCTTCATCAATACACACCTGGTAAGTCCTTTCTAGTAGATCTTTGTTAGTGATAGTATTTGGCCATTTGATGTTCAGGATATTTCCAAGGTATGTGTTTATGAAGGTCTGTACTTTCTGTGTAATGCTCGCGGTTTTTTTCCAAGTTTCTGCTCCATATAGTAGAACTGTTTTGACATTAATGTTAAAGATTCTGACTTTGGTTTGCAGCTTCAGCTCCTTCGACCATATTTTCTTTAATAGCACAAATGCTGATCTAGCTTTTCCAATTCTGGCCCTTACATCCTCTTCAGATCTGCTATTTATGTCGATGGTGCTGCCTAAGTATGTGAAGGACTCCACTTCTTCCAGTGCCTTTCCTGTCAGAGAGATATGCTCTTGGTTGGCTGAGGTTATCTTCATGATCTTCCTCTTGCTTTTATTTATATTGAGTCCGAGCTGTGCTGAAATGGTGGTCACGTCTTTCATCTTTTCCTGCATTTTTGCTGGTTGTGGTACAGAAGTGCAATTGTCATCTGCAAAGTCTAGGTCATTCAGTTGTTTGCAGAGTGTCCACTGTATCCCGTTCCTCTTTTTGTCTGTGGATTTTTTTCATTATCCAGTCAATGGCAAGGATGAATAGAAAGGGGGACAAGAGACATTGAGACAAAAATAAAAAGTGTATCTTGTGCATCCCAAGAAATAGTGTGCTCTTTGTTTTTTTAACTCACTCCAGTTTCCACTTTAAAGTCATCTGTGAGTCTACCTTCGTGGACCACCCTACATGCCATTTCTTCATAAGAACTCTAAATGATCCTGACTAGTTTTCCTGATACTCCATAGTGCAGAAGAAGTTTCCACAAGGTTTATCGGTCCAGGCTATCAAAGGCCTTTTCGCAGTCTATAAAATTTATATATAAGCGGGGAGTTCCATTCAATGGATGGTTCTACAATGATTCTTAATGTTGGAATTTGATCTGTGCATGATCTGTTTCCGCCGAAGCCAGCCTGTTGATCTCGTAAACTGCATGTGGACCTGGTCTCTCATTCTATTGAAAATAATTCTGTTAAAGACCTTTCCTAGTACAGACAGCAGTGTAATTCCTCTGTAATTTGCACAATTGCAAGTCATATGCATCCTCAACGCTTATGTAATATTTGGATAGCCATATAGGTGAGATGGGGAGGGTGTATGAATATTTTTTAACTTTTAATTTTTATTTTGCGTACCGGGTATGTTATATATGGATATCCCATTGTCCAAACAGCTCTGGCGTTCGAATTTGGCTACACTGGTGAATGTGCACATTGCGTGATTTTAATGTTACCATAAATGGAATCGGGGATACTTTTTGTTTTTGGTACAGTAGTTTCTTTTACTTAATATATAAAACCCGTTTACTCTTACGATTTTGGCGTACAATGTAGGATTTTGAAAGTCTTTTGCGATTGTACATCGAAAATGGAAATTCCTTTTTTTTTTGTGAACCTGATTGCAGTCTCTCCCCTTATTACCAGTTTATATGTACGCCGAAACCTGTCAGAACTACCATTTTAAGAGACTAGGTTGAAAATATATACATTCTGGTATTTTTTTCCTGGATTAAAAAAAAAAAATAATAATTATTAAAAGGCTGCGACTATTCGCACCTGAGTACCAGAAGTGAGAGGTTGGGGAAAAAAAACTATTGAAAATATTATTGCTGGGTTTGTAAGACAAAATGAGGTATCAAATGAAAGATAATTGAATTGACTATATGTTTGTAAACTTACCTCTTCAGTTTAACTAAAATAAACTACCACAAATGACATCCGAATGGGATTTAGTTTATAGGTATCCTCATTGCGATTGTGCAAACCTATTTACAGCTTTCAAACTAATACGAATTTTACAAATAATCTGTACCTTTGATATTGAAACAAGTAATAAATATTTGTAGAAATAAAGTCACCTGTAAGAATATTCCAGAAGAAAATGATATAATGTAACATGTTTTCCTCTTAAAAGGAAAAAACAATGGCACGATAATTCAAGAATTACACAAGATATTTTACTACTTTTCACTGGTGTTTTTAAAAGAACAATCATGATAACTGGTACTTACTTGAAGCTTATAGCAAGGACTTCATTTCCATATAAGTCCTAACATAATATTATAATAGATTTAATGGCTTTAATCAGACAGACTTTTAAAGAAAGAAAAATGTTGTTTGAACTCAATACATTTTAAAAAAAAAAGAGATGCTGATCAGTAATTTTATAAATTTAAAAAAACTGCTGGCTTAAGATTTTTGAAGTACTTTTTAAGAAAAAAATATGTAGTAAAATTGTGCTTTCTCCATGTGAAAACCACTTTAAATTTCTTTTTCTCTAAACAAAACCTTAAAAATAATGGTCAATTTTAGTCATTAGAAAGATGCAACAACACACCAACTTTGAGCTTTGTATATTTAAAATTAAAGACATTTTTTCCATCTAAAAAAATTTTAAATTAAAACCTTGCTTTTATTCTTTTGCTGTATTTACATAAAATCCTTTTTCTTTGTCTTCTATCCTCCGCACTTTAACAGAGTAATACTTCTATCTTGTATGTTACTATTTTTTTTGTAATTGTGCCATGATTAAGTGTTTTAATTGAGTTAAATTGATTAAAAATGATGTGTTTATACAATTATTTTTTCTTAAATATTTATTTTTGCAGTCAAATGAAAAAATGGTAAATAGGATTCAGCATGTGAAAAAGTTGATTAAAAGGTACAAGAGGGATAAAAGGTAAAGCATAAAAATCATTAAAATGTTAAATAACTAGAATTTTTCAGAAGCACATATTTTTGAATAATATTTTTATATCTACAAAAAGTTGTTTAGTTCTATGTGACACAATATTTACCATTATAAAATTTTAAGAATAATGAATGTTATAAACATTTTGACAATGTTTCACTATAATACAGATACTTGAGTTCTCGACTTGATGAGCATGGTGACAATTTTAGAGATGTTCAAGTCCCTCTTATGTGGGAGGTAGTGTTCATTCCATTTTAAATTTCAATCTGCTACAGTCTGGTTTACTTGACTGGCTATTTATTAGTTTCATTATCTCATGTAAAATATGTCAAACTTTTCAATTTTAAATTTACGGTTAAGTAAAGCATACACATATTTAAGTTATAAATTTAATTGAAGACCCATGTATTTAATGATGAAATAATAATATTTTGCTTATTTTCTATTACTTTGATAAACTGTAAGGCTTCATTATAATGAAATTATTATATTTATCTGCGTCATGTTTTTTCCAGGAGGATCAGATGTATGGCAACATAAGGACACCTGGAATGTTTCAAGGCACTGGATCAGATTCTGAAACAGAAGGCAGGAGTAGACTAGAACACAAATCAGCTTTGTCTTCTATACAACCTCTCCTTCAAGCACATGGACTTGGGAACATTGATGCAAAGGCACGCAAGGTAAAATTGGAATCAATTAATTACATGCTAAAATAAAAGTTCACAGTTAACTTGAAGAAAATAAAAAGAAACATGTGTCAAGTGACTTAAATGTGTTAATTCTTAAGTCAAATCACTTTTGCTTAGTCATGAATGAAAGATTGGAGGTTTTCTGACATTGGTTTTGAAACGTTGTGGATCATTGGTATCAATTTTAGAATAGAATATATTTTTGGGTACAAATTTACAGTAAAAATGTAAATATTATTCACATGGAAACAAGATACAATTTATAATAAATTGTTAAATACCTTTTATACCTTTTGGAGTAATGCTCTTAAAGAGCATACACTATTCATTTTCATCTCTAAACTTGTTTTTATTCTTTAATCATAAAAGGAATAATTCAAATCTCAAATATTTTAATTGTAAAGAGTGCACAAAAGGCACTGTTCTGAAAGCTAAAACTCAGCAAATATCCTTCATTTTAAAATAATATTGGAATCTGATATATAAAATAAAGAACAGTTCTGAAACTCAAAGAACAATGGGTATGCCAGATCTACAACAAAAATGAATAATTATCTCTGGTGCAGCAAGTCATTAAGTTAACGTTACTGCAATATTTACAGAATGATATGAGTTGTGTAATCAAGTCGGTGATAGAACTCAACTTTCTTTGATTATAAAATATTTCTTTCTTCAAGGTAGATTTATGCTTTAAGCATTACTTACCAAGTGATTAACAAAAAGTAAAGACATAGCGGAACTAGGAGCTTATTAGCAGTTGTATCAATATTTGGTCATTCTGAATTTATCAACATTGTAAATGACAAAAGTAGTAGTAACCTGAAAATTCAGCCAGAAGAGTAATATTGCTTAAGATTAGTTTTGGGCCTCTTGTGATTCTATGGAAACATATTGATTAGATAGGCATTAAATTGTTAAGATATGCACCACACCTTCAAAATGAGGGCTTACTTTTGACACATCACATTTTCTGTTGTTGATAACTTAAATACAGGTTTTGATAGCAAACATTCACTCACTGTGTACATGCAGGAGAAAAGTAAAAAGTGTATCTTGTGCATCCCAAGAAATAGTGTGCTCTTTGTTTTTTTAACTCTTGATTACTTGTTTTAAATGTTATCAAATTTTGTTATTAAAAGTGCTAATGGATTAAATTTCAATCACTTGGTGTTTTGTTAGATTAAGACAGAAAAAGAAAAAGACCCAAATGCGCCAAAGAAACCTGCAAATGCTTTTCTTATGTTTTGTACAACGCAGCGCACATCTCTTCAAGAAGAATACTTCAAGGTGAGAAAACAATGTTTGTTAATATGGTATGCAATTCCACATGCAATGCAGGCTATAGGTTTACTTTTAGAGCATCACTGAGCAAAATGAAATATGTTTATTAATGTTTAGTATTGATTGCCTCCATATGCAGACAAAAGAATATTTTAGGTGCCTTAATTGGCAAATGTTGATTCATTTCTTTGTTGCTTTATGTTGTATTTTTTAAAAAGTAACTCCTTTTGTTATTCTAGGAGCATAATGAAGAGATTGCCCATCATGAACTTACTAAATCTCTGGCTCAACAATGGAACACACTTGTTCCTGAGGAGAAACGGGTAAGATGTTTAATTAACTTAACTGTTTTGTTTCATATTATAATATGTTTACTGTTGAATAACCTAAAATTATAGTATGAATTTCATGCATTAAGACAGAAAATTCTGAGTTTTTTTTAAAAATTATAAATTATAAAGTAATATATTTAGATACTTTTAAATTTACTTTCAACTTCTTGACACGTTCGCGGTCGCCCCCCACCCCTCCTCTTTAAAACCTCATAATTTATCATTAGTTCATGGTTTGTTCTAACTTTCTACTTTTTGCAGATTTACTATGAGATGTATGAAAGAGAAAAAGAAAGGTATGAGCGAGAGATGCGCAGCTATAAACCTAAATTGGAGCCCGGTAGTGATGCTAATACCAGCACAACTCTGGAACCAAGCAGCTCCACAAGTGAAGTACTAAATATATCTTTCAAAGAAGAGCTTGATGTATAATTGAAACAAGTTAATGTTGGACTATTTTATTTGATCTTTAATTTATGCTTTATGAATGCCATGAAAGGTTTATCAATTGAAAATATGAAAGAATTTTCAGCATTTTTTTAATTCTCAAGAACAGGTCAATAGTGATCTGTAGGGTCACACTTCAAGCTTTGCTGATAAAGTATAATTTTTTTCATTTGGCATTTTAAATGTATACATATTATGTTAGAGTGCTGAACAAACTTTTATATTTGAAGTTCAAATTAGGTCAAGTAATAGTCATTATGTAACTAAGTAAATTTAAAAAAAAATTAAATTGCCAATAGACAAACAGCTGGCATTTGTTTCCTTGAATTATATCTAGTTAACCATTACTGTAGACCTGTGATGAATTTGTAAAAAGCATTTCCCAGTGTAAGGACCGTGCTTATAGACTTAAGTTGTACCCTTTTTACTAGTAGCGAAATTGGAAAAAGTCATCAGCTTTCTTTAGTAACTCAATGTTTTGGATACATTTTAATTTAAATTATCTATACTTTTTTGTGCAATAAATTGGGTAAATTATGTAAAAATGTGTAAGACCCCAAAATTTCACTGCACAATTATTAATACAAGTACCCTATGATTATAAAACAATTTAAGAGCCCACCAAAATATGACATAAATGTAATGTTTTGTTTGTAGGTGTAACATTTAAGCTACTTCTTTGACATACAGGTATGCAGCAAAAATTGAATATTATATAGATGCATATTTGGACAGGGTCAAAATAGTTGTGATAACTGAATTTTGATTCTTGAATTTGTAATGTTCCAGCCATTGTTAAAAGCTTTTGTAGTAAGCAAATGAAGTCTTGTGATCATTATTGGGTGCCTTCGATTTAATTAATCATCTGCTTAATCATGGCCACTAGCTATAACAACACTAGGATGAGTTGTTTTGGGCAATTTATGTATTTATGATAGTTGGCAAGGTTTGAGTGTGAATAGGCGGAATTTGCTGTCAAAGTCTGCATTTGGTTATTCGATGTTAGTAATCTACAATTGACAATTAAATATATAGGTCTAATCTTATTTTTGTGAGCCTTAAATAGTATTAATTTGTTCAATTTTACAAATTTCCATTTTTAGGCCCTTCATATGTGTAAATAAAGCAAAATACACATTTATCAAACAAGGGAAGATACAGAAAAGCTGTGGTTAAAAATAAAATTTTCTCTTATAATACTAAGCGATAAAAAAAAAAGAGATAAAATTAATCACTAGATAAAAGTCTGTCAAAATTGTGCGTTTTTAGAAATCAGTTTTTATTTGTGCCTTATTTGATAATTGATGAATGTCTTTCTTATGAAATAAATTATTGAATAATTTCAAAAGAACAATTAGATTGCATTTTAAACAATGTAAATATGTTCGCATATTATTATTTTAATAGATTATGCACAATAATGAGAATTCTTATTATAAAAGTGTATTGTTTTTTAAAATAAATTATAAAGACTGCCAGTATTAGAATAAATATTCAATATCTGCATTTTAATACACATTAATTTAATAATTTTATGCTGTTTAGTTGCTATGGATGACAATATTTGTTTGTGAAAATTGTTAAATATGTTTCAGCAGGGTGTCTTTTAATTTAAAAATATTGTGTGACTGCTTTAAACAAACTTTAACAGTTTTTGTTAATTAAACCAAAACATTTCAATTAAATATTGGAGAAAATTTTTGTTTCTTCCTGTGATTAAATTGTTGCAAGATAAATATACTGGATCAGTGCACAGCAACCCAATGCTCCAAGGCCACATTAAGCTCTGTGAATTAAGCTCTTTTTAATCCTTTATATTAACTTCGTTTTTGGTTGTGTATTCATGGAAAAAATGTTTCTACGGTTAACTGACCCACTTCCCATCATCCTATCGAGCTGAAATTGGGTAAATAGACTCATTTTGATGACAACACAATTAAATTATCAGCCCAACCCTAAAAATCTTTTTTCCTGTATTTTTTTTTGGGGGGGGGGGGGGGGGGTGGGGGGGGAGAGAATGTTATTGCTTTGTTAAATGGGTGCGTATTTTGGTGTGGAGATTAATTGTGTATCTGTTGCTTTGTGCTTTGTAACATATTTGGGTTTGGAGTAAAAAATAAAATATATTATTGAAGGGGAAAATGCGGCAAAAATATGAGATGTGTTTTCGTCAGAAATTTATCCATTTACATAAATGCATCTTACTAAATGATAAATTACGTACAATTACATAAATGCAAACAAAAATGGGTATAAAGGATTTATGCGAAAAACTCACTTTAAGCGGTTGTTTTTATTTTCTCTTACTTATCTATGACATTTAAACTATTCGACCTGCCTGTGGCTCCCAAAATATATTCTTAACAGATATAATTCATACAAATGGCTCATCACTTTAAAAGACCCTTGAAATAGGTGTTATCGAAACTATTAGTGTTAAATATTTCTGTGATCTTCTAAACTACCTATACTGTCTTAAACTAATTACTGGTTGTAACTTGGTCTGTTACACTGGGCACCCAAGAGTAAAAGAACAACCAATCATTTCAGTTGTTAAATAATATTTATTTAAGCAGTTACATATAAAATTCATATATGCATATAAAAGTAAAAGGTTCTTGATTTTCTTTCAGGAAAGAATATTTTTTTTTAAAAATGTTTTTTTGGAAGGAAACAACAGTGGTGTAAGTATTCATAGAAATAAATGTTGACAGTGAAAATAATTTTCCTCTTATCTACAAATAAAAGAACATGAATCATATAGAAACCTACACTTATGAGATTACTGACCATAGAGAAATGAAACGGACGTGACAAATGCAACCAAGAATAGCATAGCCATTAGCGTTTCCACATTTTTCTATAAGGAACAATCTAATCTTTAAAGGTGAAAGCAGTCTTAAACTGTACATATACTTCAGTAAATTTATCATGTTGCTAAAAAATATTTTTCAGGATTCCATTCAATAATGGAGTTAAAATAAACAAAAATAAATATTTACTATGGTGCCCCTCAATTTCCTATGTAAATAAGTTTGTGTTTCTCAAATAGTTCAATGTCTCTTTCAAGTTGTTTCATCTGTGCTTCCATCCTCTCTTTTTTCTGCTTCTTGGGGGCTGTATCTGTGACCACTGACAAGCCTTGATATTGGTCTTGTATATCCTCCCAATTCGCCTTCAGTCCATCCAAAATAGCATGACGCTCATCTTCAGTCAGCTGGCGCAGGGCTCCACGTCTGAAGTTTTCTGCAATATACTGGTCATATTCATCTTGTGCTCTCTTCACTTCCTCTTTTCGTTTGACCAAGTATGTTGGTACTTCACCAAAATCCTAAAGGAAAATGCCAAATTAAAATTAGCATCATCTATGATATTTTACTAATTTTTTATTTTAAACAAATCATACGAGATAGATATCATACCAGTTACAGTAAAAAATATGTAAATAAAGTTTTTTTGGTGTAATTTATCCCCATATCGGCTCAATAAGGGTCCAAAACAGACAGTTTAACAGAAAAAAAAATCTGCACTTATTTATTTTCAAGTTTTGATTTCATCAATTTTTTTACTTTCTCCCCTTGAAATCTACAAATTTAATTTAATATTTATTAATAGTGACTTGCAGTGTTTTAAAATATCATCATAGTCAGACCAAATTAGCTAAATTCTATGTTTTTCATTGATATATTTTTCTTTGGTAGTATACCCTACCTTTTTGTGAACAAAAACGGGTTCAAATCCTGAAGGAATTAAGTTATGTACATCTCCATGTCTGGTGTCCACATACTTTTTGGCTGGAACTTTAGGTACAGATGTAATATTTTCAACAGCATTGGTGTTAATAAAGTTCTTCGTTGTTTTCAGACCCATTAGAGGTAATTCATCTTTCTTAGGTACTGGGGGTCTTTTTCGATTTTCATCAGGATAATGAAACTCTTCCTCTAATGAAAGAAATGGAAATATTAAGTCAGCAGAGATAAAATTAATTATGGAACCAAATGATTAGCAAAGGGGTACATGCAGTCGATCTGTGTCAGCTAGGGGAAATAATTATGAAAATAGTAGAGGTTTCCCTTTGCGAATTCCCTTAAACAGAGTTTGATGTGTGATTAAATTCCTGCCAAGTATTTGTAAATGAGTTAAATCTCATTAAAAAAAACCATTTTAGAAACAATGGTACATTCAACATCACTAGTGCACACTTAACCATAGTAATCTGATAAAAATCTAAAGAAAAACATGTTTTTGAACAATTTATTACATGAGGTTTTTCAATTGAAATGACATCAAAGTTTTTGTAATTGTTTATCACTTTTTCTTGGGAGTGATGACAGCCAGAGGCGTAGCGAGGGTGTTTGGCGCCCCGGGACAAGATTCGCGCCCGGGGGACAAGATCCATTTTAAATTTTTAATTCTGAATAATCAGAATTTTAAAAAATCATTGGATCGCATTAAAATATAATTTAAAAAAAAATAATAATTAGCATTTTTGGGATTAACATCCTCCCTAGTTTCAAAAAGCAATGGAATGGTCTTCAGTTGCTTGAATTTACATCACTTTGTCTTGCTCAGTGAAAAAATGGATAAAACCCAAGTACCGGTTCCTATATTTTTTACTGCTTTGTCAGATTTACCCATGCAAGGCAACTACTGCTACTAATGAATAAAGAGCAGATTTCATGATGTACATACAATAGCATACGCCTAAACAAGATTTGACACTTGGGAGAATCTACACCATTGGTTGCAAAGGGCCAACATAACTACTATTTTTATTTTATAAAACAAAGATGATAAATCAATATAAATAAAGAGTCCATAAGCCATAAATATTTATTCTAAATATACCTGAATTTTACAAAAATCTTTATTGGATTTTGTAAACAAACGAATTAGGTCATAAAGAGAATGTTATAGTATAATAGCTTACTGTTAGGAAGCTGTGGTTCTTTTTCATGTTTCTTCAAATAATCTGTTGGTTTGGGTACTGGGACTTTAGCTGGACCCATAGTTTTATATGTATCCCTTCCAGCAACATATTCCTCTTTGACAGTCTCTCTAAATTTTGAGGTGTGCCTATTAAAATTTAAAGAATATCATAATAATGTCATAAAATAACTGAATAACTCATGAAAAAGTGGTTAAATATTTATAAAAGTTGAGTTTTTGATAACAATAAATCCCATATACCAGAAAAAAATACCAACTGCATACTCAAGATACACAGACACGAAACTATTACATATACTAACATACATTGGTAATCTACCACTTGAGCGTCGGCCAAGAAAAAATCCAGCTGTTCCGGTTGGAAGGGCTATTTAAACAACTATTCTTATATTATTTTTAATGATGTTGGTTGTACGTATTCATTCCCATAATAATAGACAATTTTTTTAAAAGAGAAAATTTATAACATTTTTTTGAAATAGAAGATAGTGTTTGAAAATTATGCATAGTTCTCCCCAAATTGACAATGAAGTTCTAAAAAATTTAATTTCCACGAAAACGGTTGTGGTAAATATGAAGGGTAAAGATCACCGGCGCTTTTTCTTGTGCCAAACTGTCTTTTCAGTTTACGCTTTCTGAGTATTCACGTTTTCCACATTCTGTGTGTGGACATCCGCGTCATCTGGATCAAAAAAAATAATTGTAGTCTCTTTTTCTTCCTGGCATATCAGTAGCTTGGCAGTAATAATTATTTAAATGTATCAGTATTGTGCTACATAACTTTATAGCCTCTATACGGAAGCAAAAATATTAACAGACTCCAATGTAAGAATAGTTGTTTAAATAGCCCTTCCAACCGGAACAACTGGATTTTTTCTTGGCCGACGCTCAAGTGGTAGATTACCCAAATATTTACTACAGTAGTAGGCCTAAATAAAATTTCAAATTATTTTTTTTTTAAAATATGTCAAGACTCCTAAAAATAAAAATCATAGATACTTTAGACTTTAGGTTAGAGTTAGGTATAACAAATAAAATATGGTGAACATACATGGTCCACTGCTTCTTCTTATTGTCAATCTTATTTTAATTAATTCCAATACTAGTAATTTTAAATTAATTTAATTAGCTTATTCTTTGTTTACGATTATGAAAATTAGAATATGGACCAAGGCCTAAATGAAAATCAAACGTCTGTCCTAATAATAAGGCCATCATCATTAAAGGCCAAGGCTAATTTATAAAATTAATTGAGTTAAATGAAGTACGATCGAATTAATATCAGGAAATTCCGTGATCGAAATACAAGCGGTACTAAAAATATTTAAACCATTACTTTTTTGGCTTCTTTTCCTTTTTTTCTTCGACGGTAAGCAGATTGTAAATCGAAGGCTCATCGTAGGTCGTCATTTTGCTTGTAGTTGTGCTCCCTCCGACACCTGCTTTGTTTATTACGAACAAAATGGAGTCTGTGTAGCAACATCGACGTCTCTAAGTGATGTCGCTATGGGGCAGATAAGGGAATGTACTCTTATAATTGCAACCATTTTCATTTCCCTTTTTATAAATCCAATTACCTCCCAACCGTTTTCGGCATCAGCCTACCTTTCCATTATAAATAATAATTATACTTCTCGATTACTCATACTATATATTGAGCAGTTCAATAGCCAAATAAACTTTTTAAAACAAATCAAAATACAATAAAAGAACTTGAGATAATTCAAAAAAAAAGTATACGTTTAAATTAGTAATCTCACTAGTCTATGTGGATTCTGTGCATTGTGGAACAAAATGAACTGCCATAAAATTAGCGTCAATAATTATAATATATTATCATAAATTAATTCTTGTTTATAAAAAAAATCAGAAATATTTAAACATGATATTGGTTGACACTGCTTTATTGATATGAGGTAACAGCAATAAAGTATGCTTAAAACGTTGGTGTGACGCAGTTCATGTAACTGTAGCTTTAATTCGATATGATTAGGAACAAATCCATGCCATGGCAAGATTTATATATATTTAAATGTTAAAGCATACATGCCAACTTTATAACAGTATGAAAAACCGTACTGAAAAAAAAATCCAAAGAGTATAATTTATAACTTTTTCATAATTATTATTGTTATCAATTTTTTAAATGGATGAATTTAAAAAATGAATAGTCTCCCCTTCGCCGCGCGCACATTGAAGCTTGTTGACATCATTGATAAATGGATAGCTCGCATATTTTAAATTTTAAATGAAAATTGCTTGTTATAAATTTGATTTTTTTTTTTTTCAAATTCTGATCTTTTTACATTGTCTAAAGTTATTTTTAAATTTAAAAAAATGACATACGATTAATTTGATAGCAAACTAGATGTCGTTAGACACATTTCTTCAGTTTATTATGCTACTGAAGTAATATAGATTTCTGTATTTAAATTAAATAAAGTTTGCTCGTCTTGAAAAACTTGTTGAGTTTAACTACAAGTTATAATGTTATTTTTCACCGTACCAGAGGGATGAATCCATGCAGCTGTAATAAATAGGAATAATGCCTAATGTTATTCACTGAACATAAATACAAAAAAATAAATAAAATAAAACACTGCAATTTTTGTTAAGAACTACTCAAGTGGATTTGTAATTAGGGTTTACTACCCAAAGGGATTTGTAATTAGGGTTTAATACTCTAGTGGATTTGTAATTAGGGCTTACTACCCAAAGGGATTTGTAATTAGGGTTTACTACCCAAAAGGGATTTGTAATTAGGGTTTACTACCCAAAAGGGATTTGTAATAAGGGTTTACTACCCAAAAGGGATTTGTAATTAGGGTTTACTACCCAAAGGGATTTGTAATAAGGGTTTACTACTCAAAGGGATTTGTAAAAAGGGTTTACTACTAAAGTAAATTTACCGCACTGCGCTGTCTAACTATTAATGAATAATAATAACAAGGAAATCGTGCTGCTCTAAAAAAAAATTAGATGACTTATCGATCCTCAACTTGGTCAGTTGAAACGGACAAATAAAATTTAGATTTCTTGTTGTCCACCATGGCCCCCACCAGAAGAGACGCGTGTTTTGGGAAAAAAAAAAATTCTTTTCTAAATCAAGTGGGATTACTGTACACAAACCTGTACAGTTTGTACAACGTGGCAAGCTGTAGAAATTACGGTACGGATAAAGTCTACCAATGGGCAAGTATGATTTAGAGTTTAGAGAGTTAATTTTCACAGATACTGTCTGTAGGAAAAAGGCATTTAAGCTTCTTTTTGTATGAATACAAATAAACATTTAAAAAAAAAAAAGTCCTGCGGTTCTTTTAATAAGAATATTAATAAATAAATACTAAAGGATGTCTGTTACATATACATAGCGTTTCGAAAACTAATTTAGTGTTAATTCTATGTGTATATATATGTACACATTTTAAAAGTAATTATAATGAATCGATCAGATCTGTTATTTGAAATAAATAAATAATAACTTATATTTAACGACTGGGAATCAAGCGTTGATGTCATAAATACATTTTTAAAAAAAAATCAACAACGCAATTTCACCTTTGATTAATGTCCAGTACTTCAAATTTATGTATATTTCTATGTATACTTATATATAAGGTTACCAGTCGTCTGTATTTAGTACGGGCAGTTTATATTTTCGACCCCCTTGTCCGTACTAGTTTTTGCGTCTGTATTTATCCGTACTTTCCACTCGTCTTTCCATTCTGGCTTTTGCGTACCTTTGTCAGCGACAACTAGCTTGCCATTATTTCCATTTATCTTATATTATTTCTCCGTCAGGCCAAAGAAATGAATCACTTCAGCGCCATCGTGCGGAACATGTCTCATTATCCTACGCATTACTGCAAATGAAATCTTCTCAGGGAACATTTTTGATAGCGATTTCTTTGACGATCTAGTTTATGTGAAATACTTTTGTGTACCCGACTGTGCTGGAAGAATGGAACTCGCAAAAAACATTTATGTATATAAAAAATGAGAGCAAATATTTTTTTTTTCCACTTTGCAACTACTGCTAGTTTTCATTCAGCCTTCCAGGCACGAATGGCACTGGTGGAGCGAGCTTTCTCTCAGGTAAAACACTGTTTGTACGCCTGAGAAATTGGGGCTGAAAGTTACCAACTCTGAACTATTTGGATTGCTTAGTGTAGCTTTGATCTGTCATGTCCTCAGTTTGATGATATGCTTCTTGAGAATGGAAACTCGTTAAAAGATATTCATGGGTCTGAAAATATTCACAATAGTTTTTAACAAAATTATGTACAAAAGGATATTAAATATCATGCACAGCACCCGCCCCCCCCCCCAACCACCACGTCTCTCCATCCCCGATCGCTACTATGTCCCCGGTTGCCGTGTGCCTTTGTGTCCGCACTTGGCTGTCAGAAACTCTGGTCAGCTTACTTATATAAATGCTTCTTGAGAATGGAAACTCGTTAAAAGATATTTATGGGTCTGAAAATATTCACAATAGTTTTTAACAAAATTATGTACAAAAGGATATTAAATATCATGCGCAGCACCCGCCCCCCCCCCCCAACCACCACGTCTCTCCATCCCCGATCGCTACTATGTCCCCGGTTGCTGTGTGCCTTTGTGTCCGCACTTGGCTGTCAGAAACTCTGGTCAGCTTACTTATATAGTGTTAAATGATATTATAGTTCAGAATTAAATTCATTGAACATTTGACAAACTTTCATCACTAAAACTAAAAGACGATGGGAAATAATTGGAGATAAATTTAATCATTCAAAATGTAACATTTTTTAAAGTTTCAAAATATTTTCAATCACACTCTTGTATTATACATTTTCTTTTCAATAATGGTAATAATTTCTAAATTTGTTGAAAATCCTAAATAGATGACTGTCAATAATACACCTTTATTTATAAAGCAGCCAAGCGTATGTCTTAGAAAAATAAAAACAGCTCAAATACGAGTCAGCTTATGGCTTAACGTGTATTACGCTGAAATATAGTTCAACTATAATATGCTCGAAAAAAATGAACAAAGAAATTCACCTTAAAAACTTCCTTTTATGTTACCAAAATACAATTTTTTAGATGTAAGACGGACTGAGTGCCTGTCTTGTAAAAAACAAAAAAAATGATTAAAAAAGGCGGGAGAAGGTCATTCAGTTTGCTTATAAATACTATAATATTGGCTTGAACCATTTGCAAGATAGTTATGGAATGGATTCCTCAATAATAAACAATTTTTATCCACCCCGCTGACGGTTGCCACTTATACCAATTATTTTTGAAACGTTGGGTCGGTCGGCCCATTTTGAACTCTATATAATTTCTTTTCAATCTGAATTCAAAGGAAAAAAAAACGGAAGCACATTGCGAGGGTCTGTTTCCAATAATATCACTTTACATGATCATTCGCGGTTTTACAAAAAACATTGTAATATACAGAACCCACTGGTATTTCTAGAGTAAGTGCCGCCCGGGGCGCCTGTCCGGTCATCTCCCCTCCTACCCCATGGATTGTACCAAAATCGTTCAAAGTTAATTTAGAAATATATAAATAGGATGTATCCAAAGACACAGTGGACGCTGGCGCATCTAAATCAAAGATGGGTTATCTGCTTGAAGCGTTCAGTATAAGTTAGAATCTAGGCGGTGTAAACATGTTAAATAAACAGGTATTATTTTTATTAATGTCAAATATTTTCACTATTAAGCAGAGGCGTAGCGAAGGGGGGAGGGGGGACAGATTCCCCGGGCGCCAGCTAGTTAGGGGCACAGAGTTGTGCTTTGATGTTATTTTATTGATGAAAATAATGGAGTTGAAAGTTGAAAAAAGACAAGGGGGTGCTTTAAAATGAATCTTGTCCCCGGGCGCCAAACACTCTCGCTACGCCTCTGCAATTAAGTGAAAATAAATATTACTTGAGTTAATGACAATTAATTAATAAAATAAATGAAGTTTGAAAAGGATAAAAAGCAACCAAGTAAACCGTTTAAGGCGTTTTATTGTTGTTACACACAGTTGTTGAAACAGAGTTGTTGAAACAGAGTTGTTAAAATATAACATGAATAATTCCTTGTGTACATTAGAGGTGAAAGGGACCGTCCATTAAGACAACGCGTGCAGACACGCATAGGGCAGCGCTTAAGCTTTAATCGCTTCCTGGTGTTCTTGAGCCTTAAGTCTTAAGGCAACAAGACTGCTGACTCTTGCGTCACCAGAGTACATGGAGTCAGGAATGTGAAACTGGTTGCTGTTGGTTGATGTCTTCATGGGGGCAATATCCCCACGTCCAACTTGGTTTTGACCTGAAAATATAAGAACTAATGATTTCAATAACATCATATTTGGGGATTTGTAACTGCTTAATTTAGACTACATATCGATACAAAGGGCTAAAAATGTGTGTCTGTGTCTTTAACTGTTTTTGCTGTCAAAAGCTTTTAGGCCTAAACGTCCACGTTTTCTTGTCCTTCTTCAGGTTAACCTCTACCCTTTCAATATTTCTTCTAGCTTAAGACTGAACGCATTTCTTCCTTTATTTCTCTTGATTTAGCAAAACTCTTTGGACATTATAAAATATAATCCATTTGTGTTAACAAAATAAATGTTTAACTAGTATCTCAAAATTTTATCCATCACAATATTCAATACGGTATAGCACTTTGAGAGAAGTTTTTATTTTTTATTTTAGGATTTGATCCAGGTGCTTACCAGAATCCAGTTTTTTAAGAGTTTCAAATATCTATTCCAACGGTATTTCAATTCCAGCATCCTCTCTTTTCATGACGTGTGTTAAATTTGTTAAGTTCATTATTTAGAAGACAAAGGTATACATAAATGACTGAAGCAGATACATCAAATTGTTTAACATAAAAATAGTGTAGTTAATCCGAATAATCTCCAACTCCAATGGACGTCATGTTAAAAAGGATGCAGATTTATTTATCTATAAAATGATAATTCTCATAAGATTAACCGGACATGTAAAAGAGATGCCTAAATTGAACACACTTGATAAAAAATGAAATATTGCACACACACACACACAAAGACTGAAAACTCCAAAATAATTCGCCGTTTACTAGTTGTCCGTTTTATGTCATGGAAAAGATATTAATTTTATGACCATTAAACTATTTTACTTTCACCAAGATGGAAGACCTTCAAACACAGTGCAACCCAAACACTGAACTATTCATTTACATAAATTGTTTTGTCATTATGATTACAGTTACCCGAGCATCTAGAAGAGAACGAGTTGTCGTCCGGACTGTTCTGGAACCGGATGTCGTTTTTGGAGGACAAGAAGGATGAAAGGGAAGATGGCGTCATCGCAGAGCAGAGTGGAGGCGTCCAATCAACGTTGAGGTTCCCATGAAAGTAAAAACCTGGCATGGGTACACTGCCGATGGCAGCCATTTTACATGTGCCAGATTGACCTGAGGATAAGGGTTGAGGTGGAGGTTTGCCTTGAGAGGCTGGAAGAGCTGCAATATAAATAATGTTTACAATAAATAAAGTAACAGCTTTACATTATTCAACCTCAAAAAATGCGTATTGATAAACAATTACTTGAATACGTTTTGAGTACGCGTTGGAGGTTTTCAATCTCACGCAGGCCTCCAGCCATTTATAGCATCCATCTTATTTAGACCAATGTTTTCAATCTCACGCAGGCCTCCAGCCATTTATAGCATCCATCTTATTTAGACCAATGTTTTCAATCTCACGCAGGCCTCCAGCCATTTATAGCATCCATCTTATTTAGACCAATGTTTTCAATCTCACGCAGGCCTCCAGCCATTTATAGCATCCATCTTATTTAGACCAATGTTTTCAATCTCACGCAGGCCTCCAGCCATTTATAGCATCCATCTTATTTAGACCAATGTTTTCAATCTCACGCAGGCCTCCAGCCATTTATAGCATCCATCTTATTTAGACCAATGTTTTCAATCTCACGCAGGCCTCCAGCCATTTATAGCATCCATCTTATTTAGACCAATGTTTTCAATCTCACGCAGGCCTCCAGCCATTTATAGCATCCATCTTATTTAGACCAATGTTTTCAATCTCACGCAGGCCTCCAGCCATTTATAGCATCCATCTTATTTAGACCAATGTTTTCAATCTCACGCAGGCCTCCAGCCATTTATAGCATCCATCTTATTTAGACCAATGTTTTCAATCTCACGCAGGCCTCCAGCCATTTATAGCATCCATCTTATTTAGACCAATGTTTTCAATCTCACGCAGGCCTCCAGCCATTTATAGCATCCATCTTATTTAGACCAATGTTTTCAATCTCACGCAGGCCTCCAGCCATTTATAGCATCCATCTTATTTAGACCAATGTTTTCAATCTCACGCAGGCCTCCAGCCATTTATAGCATCCATCTTATTTAGACCAATGTTTTCAATCTCACGCAGGCCTCCAGCCATTTATAGCATCCATCTTATTTAGACCAATGTTTTCAATCTCACGCAGGCCTCCAGCCATTTATAGCATCCATCTTATTTAGACCAATGTTTTCAATCTCACGCAGGCCTCCAGCCATTTATAGCATCCATCTTATTTAGACCAATGTTTTCAATCTCACGCAGGCCTCCAGCCATTTATAGCATCCATCTTATTTAGACCAATGTTTTCAATCTCACGCAGGCCTCCAGCCATTTATAGCATCCATCTTATTTAGACCAATGTTTTCAATCTCACGCAGGCCTCCAGCCATTTATAGCATCCATCTTATTTAGACCAATGTTTTCAATCTCACGCAGGCCTCCAGCCATTTATAGCATCCATCTTATTTAGACAAATGTTTTCAATCTCACACAGGCCTCCGGCCATTTATAGCATCCATCTTATTTAGACAAATGTTTTCAATCTCACACAGGCCTCCGGCCATTTATAGCATCCATCTTATTTAGACAAATGTTTTCAATCTCACACAGGCCTCCGGCCATTTATAGCATCCATCTTATTTAGACCAATGTTTTTGTGCCAAAATGTACCTGAATGTAATATTTATGCGTAGAGTTGTTATGAAGAAAGTGGATTCTTCCTAAACTGTACACTCCCCAAAGTATCTATCTTTGTTGTAAAACAGTGTACTTAAGGAAAACTCACCATGACAGCTGATATCTCCTGGTGAAGCCCCCTTGTGATCTTCCTTCTGCTGTTTTCTCCACTTGGCACGCCTGTTTTGGAACCAGACCTAAAATAAATAAGTGGAAGGACCGAGGCCTTTACGAGTGTCTTATGGGGCACACGCAGGCCCGTCAAAATATCCTCACTTGTCATGGAAGGAATCTAAGAATGATGGGTCTACAATGAGAAGGAAATCTACGAATGATGGGTCTACAATGAGAAGGAAACCTACGAATGATGGGTCTACAATGAGAAGGAAATCTACGAATGATGGGTCTACAATGAGAAGGAAATCTACGAATGATGGGTCTACAATGAGAAGGAAATCTACGAATGATGGGTCTACAATGAGAAGGAAATCTACCAAAGATGGGTCTACAATGAGAAGGAGATCTACGAATGATGGGTCTACAATGAGAAGGATATCTGGAGTTTTGTAAATACTTATACGTGACTTTGGGATCGTGATGCATAGAAGCAAGATTATCTAAAACTTTGCAACAAAACATTTCTTTAAAGTTAACGTAAATGTAATGATAGATTCTTAAAGTCAAGAAAACGATCATCAGTGTTACAGATACATTTGCACTGGTCTTCCCAAAAGTGTTTTAAAAAAACAACAAAAAAAAAAAACCAATCCTAACATTATTTTAAATTGAACAAGTGATCAGAAACGTTCCAACCATTTCCAGTCTATGAGCATACACAAATACGCTGAAAAGTATTTTTATACCTGGACGCGAGCCTCCGTGAGTCCAATTTTTAAAGCCAGCTCCTCGCGGAAGAAGACATCGGGGTAGTGCGTCCTTTGGAAAGCACGCTCTAGCTCTTCAAGCTGAGAGCTGTTGAAAGTAGTTCGGTAACGACGTTGCTTTCTTCGGGTAGTGTTACCTGCAAAGTTTTCAGAATTAATGCTGATTTTAATTTTAACACACAAACCCCCTCCCCAGTCTTTTTCCATAAAAACAACAACGAAATAAATGAATTAAAAACAGCAACAAACAAAAGTTATACAGAAGGACCAGAGATTCAAAGAGATGCCAGTTAACAAAAATAATTTAAATTAATTTAAAATTTCCTGCTTTCAATCCGCTTCATTTTGACCAAAAAATGTGCTGTTGAATAGAGGATCAAAATGATTTAAAGTTTTCTTTGGTGTCCAATATATATATGATCTCTATCAATGTATTACTTATTGAATGGCAGATGGTCTCTATCAATGTATTACTTATTGAATGGCAGATAGTCTCTATCAATGTATTACTTATTGAATGGCAGATAATCTCTATCAATGTATTACTTATTGAATGGCAGATGATCTCTATCAATGTATTACTTATTGAATGGCAGATGGTCTCTATCAATGTATTACTTATTGAATGGCAGATGGTCTCTATCAATGTATTACTTATTGAATGGCAGATGATCTCTATCAATGTATTACTTATTGAATGGCAGATGATCTCTATCAATGTATTACTTATTGAACGGCAGATGATCTCTATCAATGTATTACTTATTGAATGGCAGATGATCTATATCAATGTAATACTTATTGAATGGCAGATAATCTCTATCAATGTATTACTTATTTAATGGCAGATGATCTCTATCAATGTATTACTTATTGAATGGCAGATGATCTCTATCAATGTATTACTTATTGAATGGCAGATGATCTCTATCAATGTATTACTTATTGAATGGCAGATGATCTCTATCAATGTATTACTTATTGAATGGCAGATGATCTCTATCAATGTATTACTTATTGAATGGCAGATGATCTCTATCAATGTATTACTTATTGAATGGCAGATGATCTCTATCAATGTATTACTTATTGAATGGCAGATGATCTCTATCAATGTATTACTTATTGAATGGCAGATGATCTCTATCAATGTAATACTTATTGAATGGCAGATGATCTCTATCAATGTAATACTTATTGAATGGCAGATGATCTCTATCAATGTATTACTTATTGAATGGCAGATGATCTCTATCAATGTATTACTTATTGAATGGCAGATGATCTCTATCAATGTATTACTTATTGAATCGCAGATGATCTCTATCAATGTATTACTTATTGAATGGCAGATGATCTCTATCAATGTATTACTTATTGAATGGCAGATGATCTCTATCAAAGTATTACTTATTGAACGGCAGATGATCTCTATCAATGTATTACTTATTGAATGGCAGATGATCTCTATCAATGTATTACTTATTGAATGGCAGATGATCTCTATCAATGTATTACTTATTGAATGGCAGATGATCTTTATCGATGTATTACTTATTGAATGGCAGATGGTCTCTATCAATGTATTACTTATTGAATGGCAGATGGTCTCTATCAATGTATTACTTATTGAATGGCAGATAATCTCTATCAATGTATTACTTATTGAATGGCAGATGATCTCTATCAATGTAATACTTATTGAACGGCAGATGATCTCTATCAATGTATTACTTATTGAATGGCAGATGATCTATATCAATGTAATACTTATTGAATGGCAGATAATCTCTATCAATGTATTACTTATTGAATGGCAGATGATCTCTATCAATGTATTACTTATTGAATGGCAGATGATCTCTATCAATGTATTACTTATTGAATGGCAGATGATCTCTATCAATGTATTACTTATTGAATGGCAGATGATCTCTATCAATGTAATACTTATTGAACGGCAGATGATCTCTATCAATGTATTACTTATTGAATGGCAGATGATCTATATCAATGTATTACTTATTGAATGGCAGATGATCTCTATCAATGTATTACTTATTGAATGGCAGATGATCTCTATCAATGTATTACTTATTGAATGGCAGATGATCTCTATCAATGTATTACTTATTGAATGGCAGATGATCTCTATCAATGTATTACTTATTGAATGGCAGATGATCTCTATCAATGTATTACTTATTGAATGGCAGATGATCTCTATCAATGTATTACTTATTGAATGGCAGATGATCTCTATCAATGTAATACTCATTGAATGACAGATGATCTCTATCAATGTAGTACTCATTGAATGACAGATGATCTCTATCAATGTAATTATTAATTCGATCAATTTGTTTCAACAACCATTAAATACTCTGGGAAACGGGCGGAGCAACTTCAAATTACGTTGAAAGATACGACCGACAAGGAATAGCAACTATCCCCACAAGAGAGCGTAGCACTCGTTGTTTTCACGTAGTCCTATTGTTGAAGTTAAAGAAGAGACATAATTTGTTTCATTGAGTTTATTTAATATCAAATTAAGTCCTCGCTTAGAAGAGTCTATCTCGTTATCGAGTTATATCTACAAACCAAAATGTCACTTTTTTTTCCAAAAAAATGTAATGTTCCTAAGATAGCAACAACAATGTATTTACGGTCACAGATGGCATAATTATCTGATGCTTCAGTGAATGCGACGAAAATTGTAAATGTTTAAAAAAAAAAAGAATAAAAAAAAAAAAAAAGTGAAATTAGAAAATAGGCTTCTGGATCATTCCATACATTACATCTTGTCGGCACCACAATTTCAGGGAAAGCACGCGGCAGACGTTCACTTCAACATTTCAAACAAGGAGAGACCACGTGTATATCCGAATCTTGGCTTAATGCGACAAAACTCGCTTTTAGCATGTGAGCTCTGCGTTGTTTGAAGCGACATGTTTCTGATAATCGAGATCCCCGTTAAACGGATCACGTTAAGGCAAAGCATTGCGTTGTCCCCCTCACATTTGCACTGCCAGAGTACCCCGAGACGTATGGAAGCTGTACAAAAAGCTACGAAACTCCGGCCAACATTGAGAAGCCAAGCATGAAGTTTTCGCCACAGTTTGCACACGATATTATCCCAGTTTTTTGTGTGTTTTTTTTTTCTTGGCGTGTCACAAGATTTTCTAATTAAATTGGAAGCCGCGTCTTCAAACGGTTCGTCAAAACAATCTGAATCGAGATTTGAAACGAAATTATAGTTTATTAAGTTATTTTTAATCAAATTGCTTGATTCATTTAAAAAATGACCAAAACAAGTGTCTTTCATTTTCCAGTTCTCCAGTAGCGGATCCCATTTCAAAACAATGCAGGAGACAAGAATACGTGTCACATGACCTTCATTAACAACTTCCTGTTTCATAGCTCTTTGTATTTTCAACATAAGATATAAAGTGAAGTCTTTTCATGGGCTATAAGATGGTGAATAACGGGTCATTGCCCCCGTTGAAAGGTCAAAATTTCCCCTACATATACATTGTTGGGGATTAAAAAAAACGCATTTGAATATCTTGAAGATGATTAAACTCAATGGCTTAGCTAGGGTTAGTGTCACCAGGTGCGGTAACCTCATCGTGTCAACCCCCGCCCCCCCCGACTTCCACGATTGGTATGTTCTTGCTAAAAATCGTCCACAGTATCACAATGTCAAGGACAAAAACAAAGTAATTAAAGGTCAGGAGGCAAATGAATTTAAGAACTGTAAAAGTAAAATGTACGTAGAGTCGCCCGACCACATTGTATATGGGATCAATAGAAAGGTTCATTTCTCAGAATTTAGATAAATATAGCTTTCTGTAACTTACGAAAGTTACCGAACGCTTCTATTGGCGTTGAATCATTGTCAAAATGGTGTTTTTCTGACCTAATTATAGGGTTACATCTTTTCTGACTCACCAACCTTCAACTTTTAGTAAAGCACGCATTCGAATTGGTTGCATGTGTGGAAAATTTACGTGTGATCTGTTATCCCTTTATGAAATTCGGTTAGACCGAGCAGTGTGTGCTCTGTAAATATGCATTTCTTTAATTTGGTGTCACCCCCTGAAATGGTGTCACCCGGTGCGGTCCTCACCCCGCTAGCTACGCCACTGATTAAAATCACTGGTGACATAACAATCCATTAATCCCACCAATAGATTATTAAATATATACAAACAATCACATGATAAAAACAATGTTAGTGGTTTTAAAGAGAAAAGACTATAAAATAAAATAACCACTAAGAGCAAAAATTTTCGTACAAATCCTTTACATGAATTTTTAAATTATTTTATATTAATATTCTAATGTCCCGCCCGCTTTCAGGCCGCAGATATATCACACTAACTATTTCAAAAAAAACAAAAGAACATTGTATGCACCAAACGCTGTTGCGATATTTAAAAAAAAAAAGAATCTCATTTAGCGCATTTTTTGAGAATGTTATTTCGTGAAATAGTGTAATCATATTTCCTTCATCTTCTCCTTGAAAAACAGGAAGGCTGGTGTGTTTTTTTTGTGTGTGGATAATTTGATAGAATGTGTTGTCATCGGCAACGAGTTTATATGTCAAAATTCAGCTCCATAGGTTAACGGAAAGTGGATCAATTAGCCGTCCGAAGATTTCGTCACACCCACCCAGCCAGAAAGACAGAAACACACGAACAAAAGCAAAGTTAATATAAAGGCTTTCAACAAATGTACATAAGCTGTTGTGTTCTAAGAGGATTATATTATCTAATACCTATATAATGGAGGCAGCTCTTTTTATAACAGGAAGTGAATAGAAAGGGAAATGCTCATGTATTTTTGTGTATACACTGTAAAGACAAAAGACCGTATTATGGTTCTTAAGAAAAATTCTTAATATGAGTTGCGGTAAGTAGGGACTTTTTATTGGGATAAAACGGGTTGTAAGATCTTTAGGTTGTTACTGTTCTAGAAGGTTACCCCCCCCCCCCAATTCTAAAACACAAGTCCCCATTCCAAACACATTCTCCTCCCCCCCCCCCCCCCCCCC